CTCTCGAAGTCGAAGCAAATGCCGGGAAAATATCCTGAAGTAAACTGCGGTCCCTCCTTCCTCTCTTCTCAACTTAACCGTTCATCGTAGCCTTCTCATCTAACTCGATACTGTACAAGTATATTACCAATGAAGTTAAAACAGCGTTGTTAAATGTTCTATGAGTCTCTTTCGTACATGTTATTATAATAATATTGAATAAATATATTTCGTTAATATTCCATAATGCTTAATTTGTTGAACACCGTATACTTTATAATCCCCCCCCCCAAGTCCTGCGTGATTCTTTTATTTCTTGCATAGTTACATAATTATACACATTATATAAATTATTCTCTTTCAGCTTGTAACTCTGTACTCTGCCGGTAGAGTTCTGTCCTGTGAAATGTTTTAGGAACGATGAGTTTTGAAATGCCCTATGCAATTATATGTGATTTCTTGTGACTCTTAATTTGTGCACCGTTTACAAACAAAGAAATATCTACTTAGCTTACTTTTTTGTTCTGATCCCAAAGAATAAATGAACTTAATCATAACTTTGTGACATCATGTAATTATTTACATAGTCACGTGTCTCAGTGACTAACGAGTCACTCTTTTCACTTGGTTCACTTTTTTTTTTTTTTGCTTTCAGATAAGTTGATGAGCTTAACATTTGTGAATTAGTAACGCCTCAAAGACGAAGAAATTAAAAATTTTTGTGTGAATGTTCTATATATCGTGGCTGTACACGTCATATGAGGAGCAATTGCGTGAATATGATTGAGTACACTAGTTATTTGTAACTGTCAACTCACTGAAATCAATCCACAAAATGCGAGTGAGAAAATATACTGTGAATTGGAGGGCCACATCTTTCCAAGATACGTAATTTTCGCTTTTGCGCTCTTCTCAGTCTTTGCGTTAGGTCACTGGAAGTTTAAATTAACTCTTGACAGATACAGCCTAAGCAATGATGCAGGATCAGAGTGCCCACGGTCATAAATCCTATTGTTCACAAGTCATGTTAACCGTAAAGATACTGTGCTTTATAGCCGTGAAGACATAAATGTTCTCGTAATTTAGTAAATATTAACCATATCGAAGCGTAATTGTACATGCAAAAGGCTAGGTTTGTATTTCTGTCATTATGTATAGTAGCAGGTTGTTGCGAAAAGAAACAAGTGATAATAGCAGTGGAAGATCTTCATGAGTCGATATTACAGTGTCCGCCTTTGCCGAAGGTAGCGGCACCGCCTAGTGCTGATTGCCATTCTGTCACGTTTAGTATCACAGCATAAGTGTAACCGTCTTTGCAAGCTATTGTGTACATTTCACGAAGTTCTTTCTAGCGCTTTCACCCAGAAATCTTAATGGGCTTCAGGCCAGTGTCTGTTAAAAAGGATTAGTTTAAATTGTTTCTGTACTTTCTTTTCTAAAGTAATTGTTGTAGCATGAGTCATCATCATTGTTTCGTGAAAATCTGTTACAGCTTCCTGTAAAATATAAATTCAGTTGTGTCAATAGACACTAAATTAAAATTTGTCCTGCATGTTTGGATGAAGCCTCACCCTCCAGAAATTGTCAGAATCCGTTCAGTAATTTTAGAGATGCCGGTCACGGTAGCAAAGCGGTCTAAGGTATGCACTGTCTTCGCTCGCTCGGAAGCCGGGATCGTGACATCAAATCCGACTCAAGGCATGGATGTTTGGTGTGTGTGTGTGTGTGTGTGTGTACGTGTTTATTCTGTGTTCATGTTGTCCTGTGTTTAGGTAGAGGCCTTGCGACGAGCTGACCACTCGTCCAAGGAGACCTACCTTCTGTAAAATGATCATGAAACCGAGAAATCGAAAGTGGGAGCAAGAAGAGGAAAAAAAGATTTGGAGATGAAACATACGGATAGACATATCATACATACACGAAATCTGTATCGTGAGTTCGTGTCTGTAATTTCATAGAAAGTATGTAAAAGAAACGAACGCCCAAAATTTCGTTGGTACGCTTTGCCTCCTTTTCCATACCCCGGCCTAACATTCAGTGGTACACCAGCATCACTCTTTCATCTTGGTATTCTTCTTTTCCACTCTCTCTACAGCCCCCTTGGGTCCTGGCCTCTGATTTTTCAGTTTCATAATCATTTTACAGACTGTGGGATTCCTTGGACGAGTGATCAGCTCGTCGTAAGGCCGCTACCTAAACACAGGACAACACAGACAGAATAAACACATACACATACCAAACATCCTTGTTTTGTGTTAGATTCGAACCCACGATCCCTGCTTCCGAGCGAGCGAAGACAGTACATGCCATAGACCGCTCGGCTACCATTACCGGCATCTCAGATATGAGTTCATATTAATTACAGCAATAACACTTAAATTTTCATGATCGGCATGGAAGATGTCATAATTTCTACTAAGAATTTTTAAGTCATTTTTAAATGAAGTGTAGGCAGTTGCTGTCAGATTAATTTGAAGCATTTGTGCTCTCCTCTGTTCCTATGAGTACCGTAATTAATGTTGGTAATGAAGTTCAAGTGATTGGATCGTATGATTTCCTCCTGGAGTGCTTTGCGGAGAGCATACCGGGAGTGTTTCATAACCAAATATAGGGGAGGCCCGATTGTGCGTGTCGTACTTCGTTTTTCTTAATTACATTGCAATTGATAGCCGCCATCATCTGTACACCAGGACACGTAATTGGGAAGTGGAACTTACTGTCATCGTCTTGTGGATGATGGATGGATGTTTGTAATAATTAAAACGTCTTGTTTAAACAAGGGGTTCTGATAATAATCGACTAATTATATATCGATGTTCCTGCATACCAATCACTCACTGTAGCAACGGGATATGTCATGTATATGATGAAGAGATAAAAGATGGGAATGTCTGAAGAGACAACTGCTCCCTTGTGCCGTACTTAGAGTCTGAGACCTACGTTTGACGAAATCTTTTTAGATCTCAAGAAGAATATATTTAACTATTCGCTCCTTCGGATTTGTATTAAAGGGACTGTCCATCTGTCCCCGCTTCAGTTACGGACATCATTATCAGTCTACAGACACCAACCGACCATCTTTTATCAAAATTCGGTATGCACAATGCGTCGTTTCTTCCACTTTCTCATCCATATTTAAATGTCTGTAATCGAAAGTACCCAAGAATCCCGACCATGTGAAATTGCGAGGTTGTTTGCTTTCATGGACGGTACTCATCCGACAGTTAGAATCTGTGTGCAGGTATAATAGAACATATAATGTAGAAAATCAATAGCAGTGGTGGTTCTGGTGTGGTATCATTAATCCAATTGACGCTGGATAACATCGACACTGTGACTGCGTGTTGAATAACCAACTTCAAAAGAAATAAACTATTGATGGATGTCTTGTCTGCTAAAATTATGAAAGTATTTTGTCTGAAATACCAGTTGAAATAAATAATGTGAATATGCATTTGATTTCCGAAATATTCAGAGCCGGGATATCGTAGTCGGTATAGCGACTGGCTACGGGCTGGGCGATCGAGAGGGTCGGAGCTCGAGTCCCGATAGTATCGTTCAGACCGTCTCTGGGGCCCACCCAACCTATCCAAAGGGTACCGGGTGCTATTTCCTCGGGGGTAAAGCGGCAGAGGCGTGAAGCTCACCACTCACTTCCAACATGTGCCGAGGTCCNAGGGTCGGAGCTCGAGTCCCGATAGTACGTTCAGACCGTCTCTGGGGCCCACCAAACCTATCCAAAAGGTACCGGGTGCTCTTTCCTCGGGAGTAAAGCGACAGAGGCGTGAAGCTCACCACTCACTTCCAACATGTGCCGAGGTCCACGAAATGTGGATATATACATCCACTCTCCCATACGCCTTCATGGCGTAGTGTTTAATTAATAAAGCACAGGGACACGTTTACTCTTTTTCCGCAATATTCTGTTTTGGTTTTATATGAGTCAGTGAAGCATTTCCAGAGCATCCAAACGGAAGAACTGTGATGCTGTAAAGGTCTCGGCTTGCATTCATATCGTGGGATTCACGAAGAGCCTACCTCTCATATTCTCACGGAAGTTTTTTTTTTTATCTTGATGTGGTACGGGAAGCGTCTCTGCTTCTACCACCAGGAGCAAAACTAACAGCCTGGCATTTCCTCTTGCATGTTTCTGAGACACGTGATGTTTGAGGAATTCGGTTAATAGCGCCGGATCACGTCACATATTTGTTACCTGGCAACATGTGTAATGGTCAGCTGGATTTACATAGCTTTGCATAGGTTTCCTCTTGCCACACGACTCTTTCATACGAATATGCCCATATAGTCACATGGTCACGAACGGTTCAATCTACAACTACTACAGAATAAAAAAGGGTGAAGGTAAAATTGTCACTGTGTTTAATCAGTTAAATACCACAGCATGCAGATGTATGACGGAGTGGAGACATGGATGCCTATATTCGGAATCTCGCTACCAGATGGAAGTGAGTGGTCGTCTTCAGTCTCCAGCCGCTTTATTCTCAGGAAAATACCCCCCTCCGTATCACTGATTGTGAGGCTGGGTGGACCTCAGAGCTGGCCTGGACGCTGCGGAGAAATATCTTGCCCTTCCATGAATCGAATCTCGGTTCCTCGGCCGTTCAACCCACAGCCGGTCGCTACACTGCCTGAGTTACCCCGGCTCCCTCCAGGAGTGCTACTACTAACTCAGCGAATTCTTTATTTTTAGTTGAGGCGGACTTCCTTGGTACTCTGGTCTAAAATGGGCCTAGTACGAGCCTTGGATGTTAGATGAGTACGGAATATTTGTGGAATAGTAATTTCCAGAGGAAAATGGAGCTGCTTGGAGAAGAATGTGTTGCCTATTTGTCCACAGATCCCCCATAGGCCGTCTTGGAATTGAACCCGGGACTCCGCAGTGAGAACCTGGCTGCCAACCACCTTAGCTGTGGTATGGCGTATCTCTGTTACATGTCTGCGTATAGGCTGCTGTTTTTCTTGCTCTGTGCGACCATTTGACAACGACTGTTCTGCTGCAGGTTCTGGCCATGTCGGGGGCTGTTGTGCGGGCCGGCGGAGTGACTCCGGTGGATGATCCGGACAGGAAGTGTCTGAAGTGTGGAGACCACTGCCCCGGATTCGCGCCACATTTCTGGAGGTTAGTTCAGTAACCATCCCTTTCTCCCTGTGTTGCTGCTTCTACAAAAGTAAGACCGTTGAAACACACACATACGAACCAAACAGCCTCTGTGGCATTTTCGGATTTTTGTTAAATGAAAATCTCTCAGCATGTAAATCCAATTTTAAGTTCATGCCAGGATAGTGTCTTCAAACATACCACGATTACGTTCTTCAGAAACTGTATGCTTAGGCCGTACCACTTACGACCGTCTTTGTACCTGTTTAAACCCTGTATAACGGTGGTTCTCAACCTTTTTGAGACCGTAGCCCCGTAAATTCTTTATATATATATAGATGAAGGTCCGGTATCGGGCCGCTGCCCGGCAGTTGAGAAGCACTGCAGTATAACATAAGCAGTTAACACAGGATCGTTGAATAACCTAAACACAGTCAAGCGACAGACGTGTTAATGCACATGAACTCCATTTTAAAATCCACCCCTGAAATCCGCCACTGTGCAAGCAAGTCGATGCGTAGAAATGAGATATGTTAAATTCCTTGAACAGTGAAATAACAGGTTTCTCCTGTTTGTATCCATTCTGGTTGTTTGACTTGACTGCAGACTCTCTTTTGACTGCAGGTCGTGCATGAGACTTATTCTTGCGATCTGTACGCTCCTCTCATATCACTCTCAGATCAGAATAATTACATAGCGTTAACCCATTGAAGCCTGAAGTTCCTTTAAATAATGGTGTTTGGGGAAATATGTTGTGTGCTTGAATGTACTAGTAGTAAGGTAAGGTTAGGTAAAGTCCCTGTGCTTAACTAATTAAGCACCATGCCATGAAGACGTGTAGGAGAGTGGATGTATAGACCAAAGTTCTCTTGACCTCGGCACTAATTGGAGTGGAGTGGTCAGCTTCACGCCCCGACCTCTTCATCCCCGGGGAAAGAGGCCCTATTACCCATTGCATAGGAGGCTGGGTGGATCCCAGAGCCGGTCTGGACGACATGGAGAAGTAAATATCCTTGCCTCCACTGGGACCTGATCTCCGACTCCTTAGTCATCTAGCCCATAGCCAGTCCCTATGCCGACTGCGCTCTCCCTGCTCCCAGATCATTAGGAGTAGGATAAAGAAGGGAAAAGAATATGGCAGCAGTAAATGATAGAGAGAGGTATGTGTGCTTCAGTCGGTTCTGCAGTTTAAAGTTTTACGAAACGAGTTACGTGGTTGCATGAAATTCTGCTTCCAAAGTGTTTCTCAGTATTTATAATGTGTGTGGACGGATCATGTATTTAAATCGCGGCTGGAGATAGGAATAGTCTAATTTACAGTTCGAAATTGCAATAGACGTTTTAATGCTAAATGAAAATGAAAGTTATCTCTGAGATGGTAATACGTTGACTTCATAACCTTTTAAATGTATGTCAGTACTACCGCTGTTTAATGGCCTGTAATGAAGATTTATATTATGTGATGTTTAAGACAGATTTTGTTAGGATGACTCAGTCTAAAATTTAAAACAACGACAAAAAAGGGAACTGCGTGTTATTTTCTATTTACACAGCTATTGGATTGCTTAGAGCAGTACCATTCAGTGTAATGAAGCTGCCAGTAGACCTCCATAATGCAGCTGACTTTTCACTTCGCCGCTTTGTCTTGCCTTGAGAGCTGTGTCCCTACTCTCAATGTTTTGGGCCATTCCATAGACCTATTTGCAAACCATGGCCCTTGATGGTGATACTACTACTACTACTACTACTACGGCCGAGATTCGAATATTATATATCTCCAATTAAAGCCAGACAGATTTCCGCGAATTAAAGTAATTGATAGCCGGTTACGGTAGCCGAGCGGTCTAAGGCATGTACTGTCTTCTCTCTCGGAAACCGGGATCTTGGGTTCGAATCCCACTCAGGCCACGGATGTTTAGTTTGTGTGTGTGCATTTTCTGTGTTTGTGTACAGGTAGAGGCCTTGCGACGAGCTGATCACCCGCCCAAGGAGTCCTACCGTACGTGCAAGATTTAGAAAACCCGAAGTGAACGGAGAAGTTCATGGAGGTAGGCCTAGGCCCACTGGGGCTGTAGTGCCAAGGAAAAGAAGTAATTGGTATGGATATAAAGCACAAAAGAGAAAATAAGTGAGGAAAGAAGGAAAATTAAATGCCAGGAACATAGTACGAGTAGTTCTTAATGCAGGAGAGCAGCTCCGCGCAGGTCTGCTGTTCATGTTTGAAGCCCAATCAGTGGCACATGTTAGTGTCAGCGAAAACCTTTTGTGGTTACATTATGGTTACTGCGCGTCGCCTTTTTATTGCGGTTCATAAACGTGACAGGTGTACATGCATCCCTTGCAGTTACAGGATGGACAAAATTAGTATTTTGGAGGGGCTCCGGGGAAGATGACACAATAAAGCAATCACAGCCTTGTTCCATCAGAAACTGACTTCCTTCTCAGTAATACCAGTCTGCTTTTACCGGTTCTCACGGTCTCTTCGCTTGCGGATTTCTTATATTTTTCCTTCTACCCTGAAGATGGAGGCGATACGTTCCTCCGAAACGTCAGTTAACACCACATATACACGGTGCCAAATCCCAGAAGACTGCTTTCTTCATAGTCACCGCCGTGAAAGCCTCAAATCTTACACAATATTTGATTTGTTTCTCATTGATATAAGCATTGCATTAGATCGGAGTATAGCCTGACGGAGACGTTGTTTCGACCTTACGCAGGAAGGGAACTCATTAGCTGTAAGATTTGATGTTTTCAAGGAGGTGACTATGAAGAATGCCGTCTTCTTGGATGTGGCTCCGTGTAGATATTGTGTAAACAGAAGTCTGGAGCCACCTGCTCCCTCTGGTTCCTCTCTCGCGGATTTTTATACCCTGAAGATTGAGGCGATACGTTCCTTCGAAACGTCGCTTTACACAATATCTACACGCCGCCACATTCCAGAAGACGGCATTCTTCAACTCATTAGGTAATCTGCCTGATTAAGTAACTACCTAAAAATAGTTATATGCAAGCAACGCTAGATGGAGAATGTTTCTCCACTATCCTGTTACTTCCTCTGCACCTGAATTGTGCTGTGTCGAATGAACTATTTAACCACGACTATAGTCAGGGACGGGCAAAACTTTTCTCATTAGTTTCGTATGGGCGTGGCAGGAGCGCCGCTGTTTGTTCAGTCCAGAGCTGCCGCGTAGATAAGGATTCCTGTGACGTAACGTGTGTTGCATACAGCCAAAGTCGCAGCCATTAGACAACACAGGACAATTAGTTTGTGTGTGTGTGTGTGTTTCATTACGGCTGTGACACTGCATTCCTTCCCATTAGAAAGGGAAGTTCTTTCTCTACCAAATTTATCAGTTTATGTCCGTTCTCTGCACGAGATGATTCTGGAAAACTTCTCTCTATACCTGCACGTGGGGTTGTTGGTTATTTTTCTGCGCTTTCAGTATTTCAAATTATAAAAAGTTAAAGCTATTCCTGTAATAGGTCGTGGAAACCCATGGGGTTGTGAGACGTCCATGCTTCCACATTTTCTAGACAATCGACTCAATGATGGCGGTGAGGTTGTCATCCTTACGTGCTGGCTGCCCTTTACCCTCAGGAAGATTCCTGGTGCTCATTTCTGTCAGAGGCTGAGACGACCCCAGGGCCATAGAGCGGCTGGAAGGATTAAGTAATTTTAAGAATCAAGTGACCTCATTGGGAATCGAACCCGCGACCTTCCGGCTTGTAACATAGTGCCTCAGCAAACTAAGCTACAGCGTTAAATGATAGGATTACTGATAATAATGAATTGGAAAGGATTTGGAGGAAAGCATTTGTGGACTAATAGAGGTACTATTCTGGAATTTGTTTAGAGGAACTGAGGAAAATCACACAAATTTTCAGTCGAGATAGCGGTGGTTCGAACCAAGCACCTTCTGAATAAAATTGTAGAGTGTTACCTCTAGACCAAACTGTTCGGCCCATCGACGTGTGTGATACTGTAAAGCACTTACCATCTGCTTCAGCATTCATGAAATCTCCGGTATGCATGTATGCATGTGGGGCTTGTTTACGGGTTTCGTTTGGTTACAAGACTAAACAAACAGGATTAACCAGTTTATCTTTATGACAGAGACAGCGTTCTTTTTGTGAGGTATGAAGTGAATCTTCAGGTGTTATCTAGGTGAACTTTGCGCTGAAAAGGGTTAAACCCTAATGCTAGTCAGTGGGTTGTGTTAAAGGTTGACATTGTGATCTGAACTGAAATTGATATGAGATTTAAATCGAGCTTAATTTTCTCAGATATGGCTCATCGCGTAAAAATTAATATAAGAAACGAAGTAAACGTTTTCGGATGCTAATAATACTATGCGTGTTCACTTCGCAGTGGTGCCACGTACATGGATACGTAGCTGATCTGGCCCGAATTCTCTGTTACCAGCCGGAAACGTGATTCCCTTGCCTTCCGCTAGAGGTGCACGAATTATGAAGACGCATCCACATTACTCGTGCTCGTGCTCGTGCTCGCCAAACTTGTGCTCGCCGGGAGACTCGTCTGGCTTTTACTTGTGTCCGTAAATCTTCGTCCACACTACTTCAGTTGCTCTCCAGGCTTCGGCGCGTGAGGATCCATATATTTACTCGTAGTGTGTATAGGCCGTAGTCGTATTTCAATTTATTGGCTATAGTTTTTAAGTTAAAAATTTTAAATTTGCTTGTCTCGTGACTTGTCATATCGTCCACATTACTCGCGAGCATAGCGAGTCACACGAGCACGAGTAATGTGGACGCGCCTTGAGAATGGCGTCTACGTAGGAGGAAACCGTTCTGTGACACCTGAAGACGAATTCTGTTAGAAATTTGCGGAGGGAGTTTTGTAAACATTGCCAGAGAGATCCATCCAAACTAGAGTCGATTTGCGCATGGTGTAAGCTGTTTGAATCCTAAGGGTGCGTCTGCGAGGGAAGGAGTTCCGACGTCGTGTGACTGGGGGGGATCACATGGAATGTTCGTAAAGCTTATAAGACACTTGGGTA